GGTCCGCCACCTGCTTCTTTTCAGGGAGATGTTATTGATTGTTTATGTAAATGGAAAATTGACTTGAAGGTTTTCACCTTTCTCTCTGTAACTGCTGCTTTGAGACTCAAATTGATCTTAAAGCATTTGTATTAACCCGCTCCACTGGTGTTTTTACTTTGGTATTTTGTCCATTAATAAATTCCTATTCCTATGACTGCTGTGATCTTATTTTGACTGGAGCTATGGGTGACGTCACAGTCCCTTAAGCCGGGCGTACGATAAGCCTTGTGTGATTTTTGGACACATTTGAGCCGAATTTTCACTCGTGTGACTGTTTTTGGGAGCGGGCCGAGTGTTCACTTAATAGTGTCGTGCTTCGTGTAATAAACATAGAGTAATGAGAACCGATTAATACCTCATGACCAGCTCCTGATCAGCAATCACAGGTCACAAGAATATCAAACCTGTTAGAAATCCAGTCGCCTCTCGTGACGGTTTGGCACTGTTGAAGCAGTTCACATAGTGTGAGAACATGAATGATGAGCTGTGAAGTTTTAAACCCTGTGATTTGGTCGTACAGTTTGAGCTTGGGCTGAGCGAAACGATCGAAAATGTTGCACAGTTTATGTCCAGCCTTAGTCGACTTCTTTATACAGTCTATGGTTTGATGATGCTGTTAGTTTAAAATGTAACAGGGATGCAACGATATCCAAATTTCACGGTACGATATTATCACGATATGCATCTCACGGTACGATATTTATTGTGAAATTTTGGAGAGGTTAATATAATTGTAGATTGGATACTTTTTTGCTTTTAAAATACCTTGACAAGATTTTAGTGTGAATTATTACCGTCATAATACCAAGAATTAACGTAAAAACATATTTTTTCATGCTGTCTGTGCTGAAATGAATCATGGGATATGCAGTTCCCTATGTTTTTAAGCTGTTGCTACTATAAAACCCTGCATCTAAGCAAAAGAACTTGTGATTTGATATATTGTGACAGCCCACGATATTATTGTGAGACTTTTGACGATACGATATCATGATTTTTAGGTTATTGTTACATCCCTAATATGTAATACTCTTTTATGTGTTTAATGCTACTCTCATTTGGTTCTTGGGAACTCTGAAATGTTTTTTGGACAGTTTTTCCGAGTTGAAAAATGCACATGAACATTCAACACTGATACAAGTCAAGAGAAGAACTTAGGTCAAAACTTCGGAGCTCTTTGACTACACAAATCTACATTCAGGGGTTCAATGTAAGTTTTCCATATCATAACAGCAACAGATCTGCACAAGATGTATCGATGTGCATCTCATGGTACAATATTTACTGCAATATTTTGTAGGGGATAACAAAATTATGCTATTTTTCTGTCATAATCCAAATAATTAAGGTTTAAAAGTGCTTAATAACAGTTATTTCATCATGTATCTTGGACTGAAAAAGAGCAAAGAATCATGGTATATGTAATTCTCTCTGTTTTTTAGCTGTTGTTGCACCATAACAAAGAATTTAAGCAAAGAGACTTGTGATTCAATATATTGTGATGGCCCAAGATATTATTGTGAGATTTTTGACAATACCACAATATTTTGGTGATTGGGAAAACTTTAGGGATGTAACAAACAAATAATTTTTAGCTTTTAAGAAGGCCAACAACAAAAACTTTTACTTAGCTTCACTAGACACTGTTAATGAGTAGAATCAATTAATTTATTATTGGTGACTGAATTTCAAAAGATAAAAGCACATGTCAGAACCTCAGCTTCTCATCTCGAAAAACCAAGCAACCAGGGGCCACAAAAGGCACAAAAAGTACACCGAGTCTGATTTCAATAAATAAATCAGAAAGTAAGTTATTTTCCCAAACTAAAAGGGGACTGATGTTGGAGAGAAGCCCCAGACCAGAGCTCACACATGGCTCGGGGAAGGTCCAAGGCTAAATATAGACTGAGTGACATAGATCCAGCTAAAACATCACAGTCAGCAGCGGTTTGATAAGAGCACAGCCAGCAGAGGGGTATGGGAGGGGGCAGACCGGGGGCAGAGAGGGCAGAGGGGAGTGAAGGAAAGATTGCAAAGTCTTTCGTTAAGTGTTAGATTTCAACACTGACAGAGCAATAACAAGATTTCCATTTCATTACTAAGAAGCTGCAGTACTAAAGAGTGAACTTCAAAAGGAGAATTATGTAACTTTTTGGCTAGGGGGTCCGTCACCTGCTGGTTTTTATGGATACGTCACTGCTTTGCTTGGAATGTTCCACAGTATGACATTAAACAGATCTACCTTACGTTTTATAAATTACAAGTGGTTTTATAGCTCAAAAATACCCCGAAAAATAGACATTCTGACTGTGAGCAGGTTTGTCTTTCCACAGAACTGACCTGTAACTTGGTCTGATTTGGTCTAACCTTACTAAACCAGGATAAAACTAAACTAGAAATGAAAAACACATTGAAATAATTGATAATAATGCAATAGTTGTTTAAAGATACACAAAACTAGAATACTGAATACACTGTCTTCAATAAAAACTAGTACAAAATGAAAAAAAACAGTCTGGTGTAATCTTTCAAACAAGAGCATAAAGTGATATTTCCGTTTTAAATTATGGTTCATTTACATTATGTGAGATACACAATCAAGACATTTACAGGCAGATTTTAGCACATCCCCCAAAATTGTTAAAATATTGTCTAAATATTGTTGTTGAGATAATGCCGCAACTGTTGAGATACTCGTTTTGGGTCAGTATCATCCCCCCCTTCGAGATGAACTTGGGAGTAAACTAGAAAAATCCTGCTTAAACCAGTAAAACCACAACTGAAGAATCACTGAAGTAGGTCACACAGATAAAAAAGTGACTCTCAGACACTCTCACCAATAAGGTTTTTTATTGTATAATTTGGATGATCTTACTTATCACAAGACTTTGGAGGACTTTTGAACAGCTGCTGCTTAGAACATTGGGTCGCTTTGATTAATACTGCAAATAATTATCTGGATAACAGGAAAATAAGTCTCACAATAACAACGTGGGCCATCACAACATATCGGATCACAAGTTTCTTTGCTTAAATTCATTGTTATGGTGCAGCAACAGCTAAAAACAAAACAGAGGGAACCACAGACCATGATCCTTTGCCCCATTTCAGTGGGAAGAACATGAAGCAATACAGAAAGAAACAACATGAGGAAGAAATGCATGAAAAAAATAACACTTTTAAATCTTAGTTCTTTGGATTATGACAGAACGAAAGGCTTGCCAAGGCATTTTAAAAAGGAAAATCTGTCTTAAGTTCCACAAAATATCACAATAAATAGTACCATGAGATGCATATTGTGAAAATATCGTACCGAGAGCTGGAATTAAAATCAACAACATCTGAAGGACTAACCAAAATCCTGAGTGATTGAAGACAAAGTTGTAAATAGCAAAAACACTAAGAAATAGATCTGTCAAAACAGGCATTATAAACTGTGCGTGTCTTCAGTAAATCATGTGAGGAAGTGTAGTTTTTGGGTAATGTTACAACACAAAAAACTGCAAGGTCTGATGCAATGTTGATGTAGTTACTGAAAGTATCTGGAACTTCAAGATTATTCATTTTCCTTGAAGCTGTTTACATTTTCTAAGTTAAATTTTTTCTTGGTATAAAGAATTAGTCATTTTGTTCCACCAAACTCCCTGATATCTTTTTAGTTCATTAGTCACATGGCCTTCAAATGTGGTCGTAATTCATTAGCAAGCTGACTAAGTAGTTAAAGACACGATTTCACACATTACTGTCATTTTGATTACACAATTTGCATAATAATGTACTGATCATATGTACATGATTCGTAGGGGTGTGCAGAAATATTGAAATATCGATATATCGTATTGTTTAATGTGATGATACAGTATTGATATCATGAGCTGCTGTATCGATACATCGCCAAGAGTATTTATGTTATATTTGACTAAATTACTTTGGTACAGAGCTACAGTTTTGTCGCTTGCTCAGAGGAAGGAAACTTGTTTATGAAGCACATTTGAGATATTCACTGTTTTGGTGATGAAAATGGGTGTGTTTCATATGAACTTTGCACAAGAAGTGGTTTAACAAAGATTTTTAGACTTTAACGATTTGAAATATATCGTATCGAATTAAAAACTCACTCTATCGAGATATGTATCGTATCGGCAACTTTTTAATGATACCCAGCCCTAATTATGTGTTCAATCATTGCGACGGTAGTATTTTCTTACAGTCAAAATGCTATAAAAATTGGAGAAAGGTCAGAGCAGCAGAAATTTTAAAATAAAATTGCATAATGACAACATAATAATTTCTAATACAGGGTAAAGTAAAGTGATCCAAAGCACAGCAGCAAATTATCTAGTACAAAACAGACATATTAAAACGTGACAAAACAATGATTAAGCCAGTGTGTGTCCGTAATCTTCTACAAATACAAATATTATTGAGCAAACTGGATGTAATCAATACTATAACAGTGTGTGGGAGCAATAGTTAAAACTACAAAAACAATTAAGTTTTTAAGAGATTTTAGAGAAATTGAACTAGGGAAAAATAAATCGTGCAGTCCCTGTTATAATCATAAAATTGTCACGTAATCTCTTTAAAACTTTAACACATTTCATCGCTGTGTCACTGATCGTTCGGCTAAAAGCGTTAGCATGATTAGCTCGTGTGCTAACTTGCTGTATTTTATAATCTGGCAGCGCGACAAAAAAAGACAAAGCGATTATTTTTAAAAGCTCGAGTTAGCAGAGGTGTCAGATTAAAATTAATGCACAAAGAGTAATTACAAGTGGGCGTACGTGGGGCGCTCCGGCCGTGTCCTAACGCGGCTGTCCCCCGCTGTGCCTCCGCCTCTCAGTCACTCGAGCCCGGGGATGGAGATGTAAACAAGGCCCGCTGCGACTCGGCGCTGGAGGATCCGGGGGGAGCAGCGGAGGGGTAAGTGCGTGCGGGGGCGAAGGTGAGGGGTTTACCTGGGTCCGAGGCACGGGTCCGGTCCGCGATGACACCCAAAGGCGCTTAGTTTGGCGGAGAAAGGTGAGGAAAGAGCGATTTTTACTGAGTCCACGGGGCTGGGACCTGGAAGTTACACGGTTACACAGCGACTTATACGGCACGTCACATCCGGTTTCCCCTGTCAATCAAAACAAAGCCCTCTGGAGCAAAATAATTATTCAATGTTTGGTTATATATAGGGTGACCAGATGTCCTTATTTACCCGGGACAGTCCCACTTTTGGGCCCTGTGTCCCTTGTCCCAGCAGATTTATCCAAAACCAGTGATATGTCCCAGTTTTATACCAGAAATGTCCCAGCTATCCTTATTTTTGACCAATTTCATACCTGTCTATGGTGACCAGATGTTCCTATTTACCAGGGACAGTCCCAGTTTTAAGTCCTGTGTCTTCTGTCCCAGCAGATTTATCCAAAACCACTGATTTGTCCCAGTTTTATACAAGAAATGTCACAGGTGTCCATATTTTTGACCAATTTCATACCTGACTAGAGTGACCAGACATCCTTATTTACCTGGGACAGTCCCACTTTTGAGCCCTGTGTCCCTTGTCCCAGCAGATTTATCCAAAACCAGTGATTTGTCCCAGTTTTATACAAGAAATGTCTCAGTCTTCCTTATTTTTGACCAATTTCATTCCTGACTAGAGTGACCAGACATCCTTATTTACCCAGGGCAGTCCCACTTTTGAGCCCTGTGTCCCTTGTCCCAGCAGATTTATCCAAAAACCAGTGATATGTCCCAGTTTTATACCAGAAATGTCCCAGCTATCCTTATTTTTGACCAATTTCATACCTGTCTAGGGTGACCAGATGTTCCTATTTACCCGGGACAGTCCCAGTTTTAAGCCCTGTGTCCTCTGTCCCAGCAGATTTATCCAAAACCACTGATTTGTCCCAGTTTTATACAAGAAATGTCTCAGTCTTCCTTATTTTTGACCAATTTCATACCTGACTAGATTGACCAGATGTCCCTATTTACCCAGGAAGGTCCCAGTTTTGAGCCCTGTGTCCCTTGTCTCAGCAGATTTATCCAAAACAAGTGATTTGTCCCAGTTTTATACAAGAAATGTCTCAGTCTTCCTTATTTTTGACCAATTTCATACCTGTCTAGGGTGACCAGACGTTCCTATTTACCCGGGACAGTCCCAGTTTTGAGCCCCGTGTCCCTTGTCCCAGCAGATTTATCCAAAACCACTGATTTGTCCCAGTTTTATACAAGAAATGTCACAGGTGTCCATATTTTTGACCAATTTCATACCTGACTAGAGTGACCAGATGTCCCTATTTACCCAGGAAGGTCCCAGTTTTGAGCCCTGTGTCCCTTGTCTCAGCAGATTTCTCCAAAACAAGTGATATGTCCCATTTTTATACAAAAAATGCCCCAATTGTCCCTATTCTTGACCAATTTTATACCTGCCTAGTGTGACCAGATGTCCCTATTTACCCAGGACAGTCCCCCTTTTTTGAGACCTGTGTCCCCTGTCCTAGGAGATTTATCCAAAACCAGTGATTTGTCCCAGTTTTATACAAGAAATGTCGCATGTGTCACTATTTTTGACCAATCTGATACCTCCTTAGGGTGACCAGACGTCCCCATTTACCCAGAACAGTCCCAATTTTGAGCCTTGTGTCCCCTGTCCCAGCACATTTATACAAAACCTGTGATTTGTACCATTTTTATACAAAAAATGTCCCAATTGTCCCTATTCTTGTCCAACAATTTTATACCTGCCCAGGGTGACCAGATGTCCTATATTTACCCGAGACAGTCCCCCTTTTTGAACCCTGTGTCCCCTGTCCTAGGAGATTTATCCAAAACCAGTGATTTATCCCAGTTTTGTACAAGAACTGTCCCAGGTGTACATATTTTTGACCAGTCTGATACCTGCAAACAGTAAAGAGAGGCACTTGTTGAGGTAAAATGCAGAAAAATCTGCTTAAAAATGACCAGAACACAAAGAAAATGTGACTATACTGACTCACACTGGTGATGAGTGCATAACAATTTTCTTTAATTACACACTCGTTTCACAGTTTAATTATTTCGAACTACCCAAACCAGAGATTTTCCAGTTTTTTATTTTGAAAATCTGGTCACCCTCTACCTGCCAACAGTAAACAGAGGAATACATTGTCATTTGTTGAGGTAAAATGCAGAAAAGCTGCTTAAAAAAATTACCAAAACACAAAGAAAATGTGACTGTACTGACTAACATTAGTGCTAAGTGCAACGCTTTTCCTTGATTATGCACTCATTTCAGAACTTTATTATTATCAACCAACCCAATCCAGGGACGTCCCGTTTTTATTGTGAAAATCTGGTCACCCTAGTTATGTAAGCACAATTAGTTTATTCCTTCTTTTATTTAATCTTTTTTATTTGAATTTTTAATGTCTTATTTAAAAATGTTTATATTTCTCATGGTTTTAATGCACCTTCGTATAGGCAAGGCAAGGCAAGTTTATTTGTATAGCACAATTCGTACACAAAGTAATTCAAAGTGCTTTACAGAATAAGAAATACATTAAAATCATAATAAAAACAAATCAAAACATAAATAATCATGAAGATTAAAATTAAAAAAGAGAGACATAAATTGGAGAGAAGAATACGGAATGAAAACCTTTCAGTCATATACACAGTTAAACAGAAATGTTTTGAGCCTGGATTTAAACAGCGTCACAGAAGAGTCTGTCTCACATGTTCAGACTGTTCCAGGTTTTAGCTGCATGAACCTGAAACTCTGACTCCCCTTGTTTAGTCGTGACTCTGGGCACCAGCAGGAGGCCGGTCCCTGAGCTCCTCAGAGTGTGAGATGGTTCATATGACACTAACATGTCACAGATGGACTTTGGTGCTCAGCCATGGAGAGACTTGTACACAAGTATAGGCTGACCAGATTTTCAAAACTCTAAACTGGGACACACCTCGGTTGGGATGGTTGGTTTAAATTAAATTGTGAAAAGAGTGTGTAACATTGTGCTTTCTTGCTGCATTTTTAACTTTTTTTTTTGCTTTATGGTCATTCGCAATCACAGATTTCTGTATTTTGGCTAAACAAATGACAATTTATGCTCCTCTTTACTGTTGGCAGGGATCAGATTAGTCAAAAAATGTGATAGTCCTGTTTTAGAGTTGATGTAGTCCTTAGTCCTGGTTTAGATCAAACTGGTCAAAAATAGGGACAAGGACACCTAGAACATTTCTTGTATAAAACTGGGACAAATCACTAGTTTTGTATCTGATGGGACAGGGGACACAGAGCTCAAACCTGGGACTGTCCCGGGTAAATAGGGACATCAAATCACCTTACTTCTGTAACCTCTTGTCCAGCAAGTTTAGGGTGACCAGATGTCCGTATTTACCTGGCACAGTCGCAGTCAGATCACAATAAAAACAGCAGTGGTCTGAGTTTCTCTGGTGGAGTTCAGAGTGTCATATGTTTTTATGGGCCAGAGGGACTTTGTAGCACTTGCCTGATGATAACAGTGTAAAGGAGTTATGGAGCTGGTGGGAGGAGTCCTTAGTGATCTGGTCTTACATTGCAAAACTTAATTCAAGATTTAATAAAGAAAATCTATGGAAACAACTACTCTCTTTATTTTTTTTTAAGTTTCTTACAAAAATACTTTGTACAAAATCACAACTAACATCTGTTTTTATAGAGACAAATACATTCATAGTGACATTAGACAATATGTATCAAAAGACAACATTAACTGCATTCAACAAGCTCAAAGTGAAATGAAAAGACTTTTGTTTATGTATATGTTGGTATGCTAGAGTGTAATTTACATATTTACAAATGATCAAAATGGTTGTTTATTAATAAAGTAAAAAAAAATCAAAATTATTATTATTTTTTTTAATTATATAAAATTGTGTGTACTGAATCACGTAAGTATTCAAAAACTTTTGAAATTGCAGGTTTTTTCAGGGTATTCTGTTCTTGTTCTGGACTGTATCTGAATTAGACTTTCTCAAATGGAAACAAATGCTTCTCTTGTCCTTTTTTGCTGCGTTTAGATTTCGTTTTGCTGGTTTCTTCCTCCTCTGTCTGTCTGTTCTGTGGCCAGGACAGAGCCAGAGCTTCGGAGGCAGTCTTTTCTTTTGGGCTCAGCTCTTCTTGGTCGTGGTCTTCGTCAGACGAGAAACCCCCGGCCTCCCCCTCAGGTCCCTCCTTAGACTCTTTAGACAGAGGACCATAGCGCCGTTTTAGACGCTCACGGATCAGAAGGCCTTTGGTCAGCAGAGTCCAGTTGGAAATAGCTTTCTTTTCTCGCTTCTGTGAAAACAAATGAAACACTTTAAAACAGGGGTCTCCAACTTTTTCCTCCAGTGAGCCACCTTCACAAAACAAAAATACCAGAGATTCTCATTTTAGTGGTCCCAAGATACTGAGGAAATATAAGAGACACCGGAAGCCTTACATGTCGAACAGTTAGATGTCAATAAAACATAAATTGTTATCAGTTTATCAGTGCATAAATTTAGATTTCAAAATGATAGTAATTAATCAAATTTGTGTTCAAATTTAGATTCAGCACAATACATATAATTCATATTTTGAAGTGGGTGAAGAGGTACTGGTCTCTCCCCAGCTACAGGTTTTCAGACCTCTGCTTTAGAAACCTTTAATGCAATCAACAGGAGACAAACCGTCGTCTGCCAGAAAACTTACACTGTGCTCCTTTACGTTGAAGATGTTTAATCTCCAAGAAGAACTCTTGTCAATTCAACAACAAATAATTTCAAACCACACTTGCAATGTAACAGAGTAGTACTAATAAAAATACACCATGAAGAAAAAAGTATTGTAATGATACTTTGACGTGGACTTTTGTGATTTCATTGATGCGCATATTTGTCCCCAATCATTTTAAACATGATTATATAAACTCACTGTGTGTCTGTCTTACCTCCTTCTCCTTTTGTTTGTAGATCTCTTGCTCTTCGACCCAGGCCGCTCTCAGGATCTCCTCATGTTCTTCACACACGATGTACCCATCCGTACTAAAAACATATACAACATCCTGGACTCAGTTAAAACTGCACTGTATAACTTTCCTGTAGAGGGTCTGCAACCTGTTTGTCTTCATGTTAATGATTTGTTTAAACTATCCACAGTTTAGTACTGAACTAGTCTTGCATTTATTCAACTACAGGTGTTATTTATTGCTCAAAAATATCTTCATGTGAGTGGGGTCGCCTCTCCACAAATCTAACCTATAATTTGGCTTGCAAGTCTCCATGGAGATTCTTAAATTTATGGCCATACTGTTGGATATTCTAGGCATGTCTACATGGAGACGAGCAGATAAGTTGCACAGTGCACCTTTAATTGCAGAGATGAGAAATTGTGTATTTGCAATTTTACAATTTTCTTAAAAACTGTAATCTTCTCTTACACAGCATGTGAGTATCCTCCGTGGAAGTCAAAGCCGGTGACCGCAGGAGCAGCGTCCAGGTTGAGTTTGCGAGCGACACGGTTCAGATTTGTCAGTTTCAGATGAACACAGCCCACTGGTAACATACAGGGCTTAAACAGGTACACGTTCCCATAATCATTCCGGGGAACCTACACAAGAGACAGGCATACATAAAAATATGAGCTTTATATGAGCATAGATAAAAAATAAGAGCTTGGAGAGGAAGACAGGAGCACTGCACTTGTTAAATGTATTAATCAGAGTCAGTTAGAGCTGAGTAATATGGTGATAAAAATCAAAATCTGATCTCATTCCTAATTTTTGGTAAAATTGACAGCCTCTGCAGGTGAATTACAGGTGGATTTAACCAATTGCAATGAAATGTGAACTTTCAGAAGAAGCTGATGCCTTTACTTACCTGTTCAATGTAATATTAAGAGTCTAAGTTTACATAAATTGCTATAAAATTGTGATCTCTTTTGCATATCAACCACATCTAAGTCAGCATCATGTGTACTAATGAGGCCCTAGTAATAAGAGAAGTAGTAAAGGTCCTATATTACACAAAACTGATTCCTGTGAACTTTAAGTCATGCTATAATGTCGTGTCCTAGAGTGGTGTTATGTTTCATTCACTCAAGTTTGAGTCATCCTAAATCATTAGTCCAAAACTCAAAATGCTGTGTGAGTGTTTTCCGTTTGAGGGAAGAACTCAGGAAACATCATCACAGTATGTTATAATGTGATGAGGAAAGATTATAACATAGAAAAGAAAACAGAGTAATATAGGCCCTTTAAGTATACAGCTGGAACTATAAATAGAGAGAGTATGTTATTTACCTTTCCATCAACAGCAATGGGCGGCTGGTATTCTTCCGTCTGCCACTCTCCGAACAGAGCCAGGTCATTTTCATTTTTGTTTTCAGACATCATTCTGGCTTTACGGGAGCGATTCGAGAAACCTTTCACCATCTGAGGAGGACCAGAGCACACATTTGTACATTGTAGTAGCAGTATAGTACTAGTAATAGATGTAAAAGTTGTAAAAAGTCAATGATTGGTACCTTGTATGGCTCTTCTCCCAGTCTGACGGTCCGAGCCTCTTTCAGCCATGTGTCTCTGGAGTGAAGAGTGTGCACACAATCCCTAGACAATCATAAAAATACAATACAAAAACACGCTTACTTTTTGTGTGTTTAAATGTAGCTGGACCATACTGACTTTATTATACAGTGGTTCTGAAACTTTGGTACTTTAGTGAGCTCCTTTGGGGCTATATTATGTTATATTCAGATCTATGTTATAATGTTGTTTCCCCTTAAAAAATGACCCAGAGTTGTGTTTTGTTTCATTCACACATATTTATCGCACACAGCCATCATATTTAGATTGACAGACCTTTAATGTAGTCCACCCTCCATAGGTTTAATCCTTGTTTAGAACTAGTATAGTAATAACTGAGTGGCTCCATCCCCACACCTGGTTTAGCCCCAATTTAGACCTGAATGGTCCTGGATCTGGCAGTATTTGAAAGGCTTAATATTTTATACTTGGTGTATAAAAGTTTTAGAGGCACAGGTCTAGTCTCTCCACACTCACCTGGAGTAGACAGGCTCTCCTCTGCAGTAGCCCAGCACAGTGGCGGTCTCTGGGTAGATGGCCTCATATTTGAGCAGGTGTCTCTTCAGGGCGTACAGGGGGTGGTTCTTATATTCTGTGATGGACACTGGCAGAGGCTTATTCCTCAACTTTGACTGGAGCTGAAAGAAGAGAAATGCAATGAAATTAATACTGATACATTTTTAAAAGTTCACTCCAAAAATTACTTTTCACATGTAAGAAAAATATTCCTATTTTTGGATTGGAAATGTATATGCAGATGAAAATTAGCCCAAGGCAATAATCTATCATATTAACATTTCATTAAGTGTTTATTTTTATATGCATTGTTCCTCCTTTTCTTCAATAAATTATTATATAAAACAACATTTACAGTTTGTGTAATCCAAAAGCAAAACTTGTTTTCTGACGGTAATAAGCAAGGAACAAATTATTTAACACAAAACTTTTGTCACTTACAAACTAGGCCAGTAATTACACCCCAGAGCTTTTACTCAGGTTATATCACTGCATTAAAAATGAAGCAGGGTGTGATAAAACTATAAACTATAAAACTAGTGAGTAACTATACCTCAACTACTTATTTCTACAAGTAATTAATGCCTGTTATTAAAACCAGTATTAACTCAATCGAACCTCCTTGTCCTCCTGCTGGCCCCGTTCATCTTCTGGTCCTAAAAATGGCTCCAGTGACTCCTCCCACCACTCGTCATCCACCCTCCTCTTCCTGGACGAGGTCATCCACGTGGGGTCATATTTGGAGCCTAAGTCCTTCAGGAATCCATCTCCATTCACAGAAATCACATAAGTCAGCGGCTGTGTTGCGTTCTGGGATATGACCTGAGGAGGCGCCACCCCCACGTCCACCTCCACGCAGACCCAACACTGGGGTTTGTCCAAATACACCTCTATCCACTCATCGGCTCCGGGGCTGTCCTTCTGTCTCCTCTTTTTAGGCTCGTTCACAGACGCTTCTTCATCGTCCTCGTCGTGGTTCTGTTCTTTGTCTTGTTTCTTTCCTCCACTTCGTCTTTTTGGAGCTGGAGTTTTGTTTTTTGAAGGTTTCTTGTCCTTTGGAGATTTCTAATAGATACATTAAAATATAAGTTATTCACAGTCAGTTGTCTAATTAAAAGTTGAGAAAAATGTAGCCTAATCATCACAGGCTTAGAAACACTCCAGGTTATGCTTTCAACTTATTTCTCAATTCCCCACAGTTTACTGAATCTAATCTAAATCCAGTTATTTCAAGTAGAAAGTTCTGAATAACTTATTTATGTGCAGTGTTGGGGAGTAACAGATTACATGTACCGGAGTTACGTAATCAGAGTGCAAATTATGAGTAACTGTATTTAGTTACAGTTACTGTTTCAGTGAGTGGTAATTGGATTACAGTTACTTTGTTGAAATAAATGGATTACACAGAGGTATTTTCCTGTTTTCACATTTCGGGGTATTCCCTTTTTTTTTTCGGTAATTCCACTCATTGCCGGACACCAGGTATAAAACCAGGTCTAAAACCAGGTCCAAACCAGTTCTAAACCTGGTCTAAAACCAGGTCTAAACCAGGACTAAACCAGGATTAAACCAGGACTAAAACCAGGACTAAAACCAGAACTAAACCAGAACTAAACCAGGTCTAAAACCAGGACTAAAACCAAGTCTAAACCAGGTCCAAACCAGGTCCAAACCAGGTCTAAACCCAGGACTAAACCAGGACTAAAACAGGACTAAAACAGGACTAAAACAGGATTTAACAAGGACTAAACCATGCTGTGCGGACCATGTCTCCTTCTCTTCTATCAATAATATTTTTAATTTGGTTAAGTAAAGTCTGGGCTTTTTAATGTCTTTTATCAGACAAAACATCTCATGTGAAGATTTCCTCGTCTTTGCTTCTCTACAGAAAATCAAGTAATCCAAAGTATTCAGATTACATTACTCACGTTAAGTAATTTAATGGATTATGTTACAAACTACATTTTGGGGTGTGTAATCTGTAATCTGTAGGGGAATACATTTTAAAAGTCACCTTCCCAACACTGTTTATGTGGGAGCTTTATATCCTCTGTACCTTTATCTTCTATCGTAATAAATATTTAGTTTACTTATTTGGGTGGCAACAAAGAATCAATGCTGAAAAATAGTTATACTTCTAATTTGGTGAAAATGTAGCTTTAAAAATGTCAAAGGCAAAACATTTAACCAGTTAACTAATAAAAAAATAACTAGTCACTAATATAACTACTGAAATAGTCATTATTTAATAGCAGCCCCATGAAATATCCCTTTTGGCTTTGGACATTACATTTCCATTTGCATCTGTTGTCCAAAGTTTGCCCTCCTTACAACAAAATCACAAAACCACACTCTGTTCCATGGACCTCACCTTCTTGGTCTTCTTCTCCTCTTCCTCCTCCTCGCTGTCTTCTTCACTCACAGCCCTGAACTCCTCCTCGCTCCCGTCCGTCCCTCCGTCACTCTCGCTCTCCTCTTTGTAACTCACTTTTGAAGCCACACTCCTGCGTTTGCTGTTCTTTGGTCTCTGTCCAGGCTTTACTCTCTTCTTCTCCTCCTCCTCTTCCTCCTCTTCTTCTTCTTCAGATTTGACTAACTTCTTTTTGGCTTTTTTACCTCCTCTCTCCTTTTTCTCCCCCGCTGACGGTCTCTTGGATCCGGGGGAGACCTGAGGTTCAGTGGGACTAGACTCGACTGAGTTCTGTTGGGAGTTGGTTTTGCTCTGGCTTTTGCTCCCTTTAGCCTGGAGAAGGAACAAAATAAAACTCTTCTGAATCAACTGGTCAGCAACTGGTCAAAATCAGGGCTGAACGATTTGGGAAAAATATCCAACTAGCAATTTATGTCCAGGAAAACTAACAAAAATACCTTAACATGACAAACTGACAAACTAAAACAAGAATCACATTTTAGAACATGTTAGTACAGAATAAGACAGGATGTTTTGTTGTTTGTGGAGGAAATTATGCTACTTCAATTAATCTAGGCCTTGATAATGGATTGATCTTTAAGCCATAGTCAACATTAACTTATTAAAACATGATTATACTGGTATATTTATGTGTTATTTTTTTGTTGTGATCCCAATACTATTTTTGTTATTTGCATTTATGAGTTTGTAAAATACAACGGGGTTCCCACTCTTTTTCACTGACAAAATTTCAAAACTTTTCCATGACTTTTTCATGACCTAAAGTGAATTTTCCATGACTTTATGACACCTACATGTGTAGAATAGAGCAGACGTTTAGGGCTAAATATGAAATGTTAACTCTTTCCACTCACCTTATGGTTTGGTTTTATAGTTTTTTAACATTCAAAATACTGTCAGTGCATTTATTGTCGTCCCTTTTAAACAAAAGGCGCATACGTTTGGAAATAATCATAATAGCCTAATGAAAACTTAACAAAACGCTGTAGTTGCGGAAAGAGATACTAAAATTGCATGACTATTCTAGGCCTGGAAAATTACATTTTCAATTTCCATGACTTTTCTAGGATTTCCATGACCATGAAAACCCTGATACAAAGTTATCTGAGCCGTATTGAGTTTCGCATATTTTGCAGTACAATTTTGTCAGAAAACCTAAATGCAAAAAAAAATATTTTTAAGGTTTTGAAGATTTGTGCCTACTTAATTATTATTATATTACCTATGTTATCTTTAGGGACGTGTGCTACTGTTGTAGTCATGTACCGCAAAATGTGCTGCATACCATAGCATACTACAAACCGTGCAGTGGCATTCAGAGCAGTCATACTCCCAAGTGGTATGTTTATTAGATTTTCTTTTTTTATTCACAGATGTACAACCTTAACGTAAACTAAATATTACATCTTTTGAATGAGCAAAAGTCCTTTGAAGCTGAAACCACTGAACAGAATATTGTAACGTACCCGTCAGTGCACATTCATTTTATTAAGCATTCAGACTCTGTGGCAATATGGCTATGATAAAACATGTATTTTTATATAAATCCTTTGTGTCCTCACCTTTGCTGTGGATGGAGGTTTAAATGGCACAGGCTGCAGAGACAGAACCAGTCGACAAAAAAGCTGCAGGGACCTGAGCACCAAAAGGAACAACTGCAACACAAGATGTATATTCCAGTTTAAATCATTATTATTTCAAATGTTCAAAGTTTAATTTCGATTTAAAATGAAATAAAGTAGCAGCTCACATGAGTCATTTCCTGATGGTTCTTGGCTGACAGACTTGCCAGTCTCCTCTCCAGAAGAGACCTGGGGCTGGGGCAATCCTCACTGGACAGACTGGGGTTTAGAGTGAAGGTCGCTTTGAACCTGACCAAAATAAAGAGAAAAAAAGAAACCTTTGTAGGGCAACTGTAAAGTAAAGTCTTTGTTGTAAATGTAACTTCATTAATAACAAAAAATGTAGAATCTTTAAATAGCAAACGTTTTTATGTTAAGGATACTGTATAAGTGTGTCACTTCATTACTATGACTACTACTTTAAGAAAATAATGTATCTATTAGGGATGGGCATTCGATGAAATTTTCTTAATTGATCGTCGGAAGAATTAACGATCGATTATCGATTAATCATTAACGTGTTTATATTAAAATGATCATCATTATTATTACTATCTGCACTACTAACCTGCATACATAAATTCAACTTTACGACATATAAACCATAACGACTCTAGAGCCACATCAGCCCGTTTGACATTATAATGTGTTTAATTCAGTTTTTGCGCAACTCTCACAAAAACTAAACTTAAAACCGCATCGCTAATTTGCATAAACTCAAGCGAAGATAAAACTACAGCTCTTGTGTCGCTGATGCGGTTCAACTCTGTTGGATTAAAAGACATGACTCAGGTGAATACAGGTTAGTGTGACCATATTTGCGTTTGTCAAAACCAGGACATCGTACGGGGGGAGGGAGGTGGGGACTCGTCATCCACATTGCGCGACTCTCACCTGGTAAAACTTTTTTCCCACTGGACACTGAAACATATGTGCTGCTTTGTTCACTGTGCACATGGACTCACACTTGTCCCAAACGCAACAGAAAGCGTGGAATTTCTTGTACAAGTCATCGTTAAATACACATTTGCGTTGCAGACTGACCGACTGTTTGTGTCTCGCTCCTTTTGAGTGCAAAGAGACACATGTACGACCCCTGTTTGATCACGCTACGCACACAGCAACCTACATTCGGTTTTGGTCGATTAAAATTAACATAATCGAAGAAATTCTTAATGATCAATTATCGATTAATCGATTAATCATGCCCATCCCTAGTATCTATTTATGTAATGTAAACAGTTAAATGTTTTTATTACTTTGAGTCAGAGGTGGGGACTTGCAAATTGTGACTTGGACTCAAGTCAGACTTGAGTCACCATTTTTAGGACTTGAGACCTGACTTGATAAAATGGACTACGACATGGGAGTCGACTTGGACTTGAAGGTCAGTAACTTGGGATATGTCTCAAATTTGAGGCTTGTGACTTGAGAAGCACTTTTAAATCTTTCTATTCTGACTGTAATGATTCACACTAAGATCTTGTCTAAACATTTAAAAAGGAAAAATTAACATTTCTACAACTCTTATATACTCTATAAATACTCATATATAACTATACTATGACTTTACAAGTACAATTTATCTTAAAATTCATATAAATTGCAAAAATGTAAGCTATATTTGGCACTTTGGTTTAAAGACTTGAAATGACTTGAAGCTCAAAGCAGACGACTTGGACTTGACTTGAACTTATGGGTCAGTGACTCGAGACTTGATTTGGCCTTGCCTGTATTTGACTTGGGACTTGACTTGGACTTGAGGTCAACTTGAGACTTACAAAACAACGACTTGGTCCCACCTCTGCTTTGAGTTTTGCCTGCAAACACTGAATATGTTTTATATGTGGTATGTGTGTGTGAGGTTATATCAATCCTAGTGGTGAGATTTGAGAAGCATGATGAAAACTAGAATATAACATGATTAAAGTTTGCGTACCACTTGTGCAGTCCGGAGAGGTAGTTCTGGTCGATACGTTCTTTGGACACATTTCCAAAGTGAGCAGGAAGTAAAGACAGAGTGATCGCCAACAGGTCCGGGTCGCTGCACAGAGAGTTCCGGTGCTGCGCGTTGGCCACCAGACACAACAAGTGCACCTACACAGGACATCAACAAACAACAGATTCAAGATTTAGGAGTCAGTTTGTTCTAAGTGTTATTTGTTCTTTGCTACAGTTAACTCGGAGATTTTAAAGTGGTTTGTGGAAATGTATTAAACCTTGTGAGTGTCTATGAGTAGGTCCTTCTTGTATCGATTCACCATTCTCCGCAGATAGGCCTCCCACTCGGCCTGCTGCTTCTTTCTGGAAAAAAAACAAAAAAAAAAACAGATCTTATTTAAAAAGCTGCACTGTGTAACTTTTTGGTTGAGGGTCCGTCTCGTGTTTGTTTGTGGGGATATGTCATTGCTCTCACATTAAACAGCTCTACCTTATATTTATGGAATTACAGGTGGTTTTATAGCTCAAAAATACCTAGAAAAACAGGCATTCTGACAACGAGCGGGTCGCCTCTCCACATATCGGAACTGTAACTTGGTCTGGTTTGGTCTCTATGGAGATAAGAAGGTTTTGTTTTTTTGTTGTTTTTTTTTCATATGGGCCCGGTCAAGCAGAAGTAAACAGCAAGGCCAAAAATTCAAGTTAATGCATCTGATATAAAAATGTATTGAACAGATACATATGTACTCTAGTTTATGAAACTGTTTACCTTTTTTCTGTACCATTTTTGGTTCTAAAGTTACATATGTTTTAAACAGACCATGTATGAAACATGGAACAAAAATTATTTCCCAAATTTCAAAGACCTGCAAATCATGTAAATAAATGGATGTATTTCATCATATCTTGTGTTATTCCATCTTTGAACTGTTGATGAAGGTACATGATTTTTCCAAAAAAATTTATTTAAAATGATAAAAATTTGCTTGGAAGGACTGACATATTTTATAGAAATAGTTTCCTTTCATTTTGAAGTAATATTAAAGTATTCGGAAGAAAAAAACTGACAAATTATGTAAAATCATGCACCTTCTACTTGTTTGCACAAATTTCCCTCCGTTACTTTTCCCTCCGTTACCATGACCTTTCTTAATAAAAAATCTCATGACTCAAAAAGTAAGAGGTTTTTCAACCTAATCTTGTACCATATGGTAGAAAACTATATGAAGCAAATATTCAAACCAGTTTGTTAAGGATATGTAAGTGAGAACCAAGAGTTATCACTGTTTGTATTTATTGCCCAAAAAGTGCTGCATATTTCATTCCTCTCCGTTACCGACATGAGTTTTTAAAATTTTTGTCAACAACTTGAAAGAATATCACAGGTTTAACTTTACCCTGTTGGAGTGTAACTCTTTCCTACATTCTGATACTTTACTTATTTCAATAGTCCCTCTAGTTTCTGAATAAGAGACATTTGAATGTAAAAAATCTGCCAGTTTCCCTCCGTTACTGCTTGACCGAACCCATTTGCAACATACAATATGCACACAGACATTGGACAGGACAATATAATAAGTACAATATGGAACAATGCAATACAAATGCATACACCGCCACAGCAGAGAAGGTGTAAAGTGTGTGTGTGTGTGTGTGTGTGTGTGTGTGTGTATATGAGTAAGACTGTGAGGTTTCAGAATCAGCAGTAAATATAAATGACTAATTGTGTATAGATACGTAGAGATTCTTAACAGTGTAACAGTGTATTGAAGGGATCAGCTCAATGTTGAGAATAATGACAACTATGGAAATAATCACAGTACAGGTGGGAAGAGGAAGAGGTGGGGGAACCTACTTATGTTTGTTAATGAGTTTTCCAGATTGGTGTTTTAACCCTCCCATTTTTTCATGTGCCCAAAAACAAACCTTACCTTTATGACAGTGTAAGAAATATTTTGTTGATGTTGTTGTTTTTTTTTTTCCATGTGCAGTTGTGCATGTATGCCTAGCTCATTGAGGTGCATTAGAAGACAGGAAGGTTTAATGCCATACTGTGTAACATTCCAAACAAAGCAATAACATCTCCATGAAAAAAGCATTTGACAGACCCTCCACGAGAAAACTTACACAAAGTACTATTAAGAGAAATTAAACAAAATGTTCTGCAATACTGCTTGATTGGTTGAAATATCTGAAAATCAGTAGTAGGCCCATGAGCATGTTCCAGGGAGATGAGCGCTGAAAAATCAAAAAATGTCCACTCTCACCTCTTCCTGGCCTCTGGAGTCTCGATCTCTATTTCCACTGACTCAGGGATGGAGTGAGTGGGAGCAGAGGGATCCACTGGACCAAGAGGCTCCTCCAGTTCTGAACAACAAAAACAAAACAAAGCGAGGATAAAAATATTACTCAAACCATTTAGTCATTCTTCATCTTTTTTTTGTCAGATTTAAAATATAAACATGCTGGTGATTCTTCAGTGACAATATCTAAACTCATAGTTCGGCTGTATCACATTATTTACAGCAGAAGAGAGACTAACACTGTGACAGAAATATTACTTATTGGCTAAAAGGTGTCAATTTGCCTTTTGTGCAATCAATGTTGTCATATTTCAAGAAAATAAGACAAAAAGAATTAATAAATAAATAATAGGGGTGTGAAAAATAGTGAAATATCGATATATTGTTATCGTTTTATAGTATTGATATCTTGGGCTGCTGTATCGATATATATCACCAAGAGTATGTTTTTGTATATTTTACTAATTTATTTTGTTACAGTGCTACAGTTTTGTTGCTTGTTTAGAGGAAAGAAACTCAAAGGAAACTTTTGACATTTTCAGTTTTGATGATTAAAATCGTGTGTTTGTGTTTCATATGAACTTTGCACAAGAAGTGATTTAACAAAGACTTTTAGTATCACAGTCATGAGTTAGACATTATTTTTTATTGAACTGTATTGAATCGTTTTGAAATATATCATATCGAATCGAAAGTGCACTGTATCCTATCGTGGCCTATGTATGTATCGTATCTGCAACTTCTTAATGATGCCCAACCCTAATTAATAACCGATGATGAAAGATAAAGATCACTGTCTATGTGTTTCTTTTAACGTTTTTATCTCACCGCTGAAAAACAACAGTAGTTTTAAGAGACTACGAGTTGATACGTTATTATTGTGCAACGGTTTTTTATCCTGAATATTGCTAAAAGTCAATAATGTTCCTATCCCCTAATATTCACAGACCTTCCACCTCCTCCCAGTCATCTTCACTTTCATCGTCCTCTTCTTTCACCTCTGCTTTAGGCTCTGTGTCTGTGATCTGTGGGACCTCCATAAACTCATCTTCATCAGACTCCTCCTCCTTCTCCTTCTCCTCCTTCTTCTTCTTCTTCACTGGAGAAAAGTATTTACTCGTTTTCTCAGCATCAGTTTTAGCAGCAGCAGAGGAGCGTGATTTGGACTGGACTTTTCTCTTGATGGGTTCTTCTGCATCTCCAGCACCGTTCACTAAAGAACAGCAGAAAGAATTTAAATTCAACTAACTGTATCATTAACCTAAATGCAAAAGAAAATTACAGATTACATTTTGTTTGTTGTTTTTTCCCACAAAAAAAATTCATTAAAGAATTTCAGTCAATGTTTTTTTATTTACACAAAACAAGAGAAGTAGAGTGCTTCACTGGGTCTTAAAATAGTAAAAAGTATGAGTACAGGTGCTCTACGAGGGTTAAGGCAGTGTTCTTAGAACAGAAAATTACCCTGAGAGGAAAATGTAAAAATAGGTAAGGTACAAACCCGAGGCATTCCAACTGAATATATTAAAAGTCCTTTGTTACATGAAGGGACGCCAACGCGTTTTGACCTGCAAGATGGTCCTTGTCAGGGCAAAGTAGAATGTTTTGTTTGTTTTATTTTGGAATTTGACATGATTCAGCCTGAACTACATAACTGACAAAGTATTAGCATTTTGATTCTTTAATTCTATAGCAGCAAATTTTACCTGTATACCAATTTTTTATTTTTATATAGATATTTTTTTTTTTATTTTCCAGTTACTACCTTAGCCCAAGACTACTTAATTATCAGTGTCAAATGACTATCATATGATTTTAATGCATTTAGTGTAGCAGCACATGCCAAATTAGAGTGACAATAAATCTTGAACTTCAAAATAATAATAATAATAATAATAATAATTTTCTGCTTTTTGATTGATATTTTAGTTGTTATTTCCCAGAAATGTTGTCAGTCTTGCCTCGTTTGGAAAGGTACTGCATAGAATAATTTGACTTGAAATTGATTGATTAAACACTTTTTAAAGCTTTTTCTAAATAAACTTGAATAGGCAACACTTTGATTTGGAATAATTTGCACAATAGCGAGCAATTTAGGGGGTATGAAAGGACAGGACTTCAAACTCTGCTTACAGAAGGGTATGCATAAGTTGGGATACAAAATAAAGAGTTAGGATTAGTTTCAAGTTTAAACTTTTTGCACAAAACCATAAATAAAGACTTTTTCGTACCTGTTTCTTTCTTTCTCCTCGCCTTTAGCGGCTGCTGCAGTTTCTTCTTTGGAGCTTTGTCACATGCAGTGTCCGATTCTTTCTTTTTCGCCATTTTTATGCTTTAAATATGCACTTTAGAGGTTAAAATACATGCACATTCGTCCAAGGAGCAGGGAGCAGAGGGATCCACATGGGGGTTAAGTAAGAGCGGAAAAAAAACGCAAGTTATTCAACATTTCATTCAGAAGCTTTCATAACCAGAGCAAGTGCGCGCCGGATGTTTTCAGGTGGAGCTGTGACGTCACTTCCGTCTATCGCTTTTTATTTTTTATAAATTCTCTAAAAATATTAATTTGACTATTTAATAAAAAAAAAAAAAATAATAAAAAAAAAGCTTAATTTTACTTAATTTTAATTTTTCTATATTTCTTTATGATCAATTCTGAATAATTAGGCCTAATATTTTAGTTAAAGGGCTGCTAATAATTCGTTTTTTTATTTTAATCAACTTTAACTGTTTCCTTAATTTATATGATAATATTAATGCAGAGTTTCAGCTTGTATTTTCGGGAGTAAATTCCGTCCTTACTGTAAAATCCAAACTATAGTGCAATAGCAGCATATAACCACTAAGGGGCAGTTGTGCGCTTGTGTTTGAAATGTCCAAGTTGATTGACTCACGGGAGATTGACAATTGAATCATCAGAAGTGTTGAGAAAGTTACTTTTAAAATGTATTCCCCTACAGATTACAGATTACATACCCCAAAATGTAGTTTGTAACGTAATCCATTAAATTACTTAAAGTGAGTAATGTAATCTGAATACTTTGGATTACTTGATTTGCTGTAGAGAAGCAAAGATGAGGATATCTTCACCTAAGATGTTTTGTCTGCTAAAACACAATGAGAAGCCTGGTTTAGTCCTGGTTTAGACCTGGTTTAGACCTGGTTTAGTCCTGGTTTAGACCTGGTTTAGTCCTGGTTTAGACCTGGTTTAGACCTGGTTTAGACCTGGTTTAGTCCTGGTTTAGACCTGGTTTAGTCCTGGTTTTAGTCCTGGTTTAGCCCAAAATGTGAAAACAGGAAAATCCCGCCATGTAATTCATTTATTTCAACAAAGTAACTGTAATCCAATTACCACTCATTGAAACAGTAACTGTAACTGAATACAGTTACTCATAATTTGTACTCTGATTACATAACTCCGGTACATGTAATCTGTTACTCCCCAACACTGTCTATAATATAACTTTGTCTTGATGGTGTTGCATTCTGTCTCTACGGAGCTAAAAAAGTTACATAGTGCACCTTTAAGACACCTATTTGCCATAGAGATACAGAAAATATGTGAATTACTTTGAAGATATTAACCGTAAACTATTGGTCAACATTTTTTCTGTGTTTGCTTAGAAAAACAAAAGCAAAAACATTGTGAACGACTTAATTTTATTTTCAAATTCAAAATCTTACAAATGCACAACACATTTCTATTGCCCCCACTCTCAAAGCCTCAATATTCTTCATAACAACATCTGAAATCGACGCCAGCGGAGCCTGCTTTCTGATTCATTGTGTTTTATTGCAGAACGAGAACTCGCTAACGTGATTGGACCTGTACGTTGTACTGTGGCCCCCCGCTCCGTCTCGTGCCCAAGCTCCCGCGCTAAAAACCATGAATCTCATCAGGAAGGAGGGCTGAGGGGGCCGGGTTCTTCAGATCACATCATTTCAGTCCAATCTAACTCCAAATCAGCCCCCATTGATCCATCTGCTCCCAGCCAGGTCCCCTCTGCTCCACTGTCATTCACACAGCACTTCATATTAACAGCACCATCTCTGGAGATCCTCTGTACTTCAAAAATACTCGTTCACACAAGAGCTGGGGTTGGTATTGCATTGTTCAAGTGTATTATGATGGCGTTTGAAGAAGATCTGATGATTATTCATTCATGTTTTTCTCAGCGCGGGTGGTGACTTGATCTGAATTGGTGATTTTGGCATGAATTTGTTTATAATTCTGACTGAATTTTAACTTGAAACAGAAGCGGGATAAAAGTCAGATAGCTTAAAAGTGCTCTTGGTGACTTTTCCAGTGGAAGGCAAGCTTTTTTATTTTAATTTTTATTTGTACATATTTATAATTATGCCTTATTTGACACCAGTCTATTGTTATTTTTATTTATTATGATTATTTTTATTATTATTTAGAATTTATTATTATAATTTATATATTTTTTGTGAGAAACTGTGTCCAAATATTTTCCCTTGTGAATCAATAAAGTGCAATAACCTATTTATTTAATGTTTTTATTGGCATGGATGCGAGAACGTGTCTATATTTATTAATTTTTACTGCCACAGATTTGCTCTGTAGAAGTTTCGTTGTAATTTGTACAATGACAATAAATCTAAATCTAATCTAAATCTAAATTTAATCTAATCTAAGACTAAGTCTATGCAAAAGATGCTTGTTTCCACAGAGATGTTTTCGTCCAGTCTGGAATGTTCCACACTATGGCATTAAACCTATTTTTCTGATGCTTTAAACACACACATTGTTGAGTGGTGTTGCCATTCCACAGATCTGAGTTGTAACTTAGCCCGGTCTCATCATCAGAGGTGTTCATCTGTGGATCTGTCTCGATAGAACTTTAAAAGGCTCTAAAACAATGTACACATTAAAAAAAAAAAAAAAAAGACCAAAATACATGCATCACGAATTTCAGACTTCCGGTCATCGTGCAATTCACACTGGGAAGGATTTTCTGAAAAAGTGAGCATCAAACAGCTGTGTTTGTTTTCCCAGTGGGATGTGTCTATTGACAAAGCCAGTCTTTTCTAGTCTTTTTGAACCATATCGCTTTTGTTTCTGGTTCTGATATTGTCATATTTTAGTTTTGGGATTCGGACATCGTTAATTATGTGGTTGTTGGATCCTAACAGCGGAAAACGGCTCGAAAAATGGGCTTCGGAAGTTTGCAAACTCCATGAATGCAAAAGGGAATCAGATCTGTGTGACTTGCAAACCTCTGTTCAAACTGTTTCTCTTCCCAACGGAATTGAAAAATAGTGAAAGGCGAAGGCGATGGGCAGGATTGATCCACATTATTTATAAACCAATAGGTATAAATATTAAGGTGTACATGGTCAGAGAGGGTGTGCGTGTGTGCATGAACACTGACATATATTGGATTGTGTTCTGTATTGTGTATGTGTAAACCAAAAGATTTAGGGACATATTCTTTCCTGCACTCATAAAAGATGAGTTTTGTGTTGTTTTTTTCTGTAAATAGTTCTGCCATCTTGTATCCTATTTATATGTTAAGAGGATTTTGGCAAAACAAGAGTGAAACTTCAGCCTAAACCCCTTCGGTCTGTAGAATAACCTTAAACTGTATAATTTTTTTGTGTTAAATCATTGTAATATGAAGTATGATTAAGTTAATTGACCAAAGAAAATAAACTAACTAAATATATATGGGTTTAAAGTTATATTTTGAAACATTTCAGGCAAAGTGAGGACATCTCCATAGAGACAAGCCAGCAGCAGAATGTAGAATTGAACCAGCAACTTTTGCTTTAATGTTTTAATGTCTGTAACTTTATGTGATATTTATCTTTCATTGTACAGTAATTATATGTATATTTATCTACAAAAAATTCTTAAATTTTTCATTCTCATTACTGTTTATTTTGTACTATCATCAACAATAAACTTTTGCGCCTTCTTCATTTGTACGACCATAAATGAAAACAAAAAAAATCCTTAAATTTTTCATTCTCATTACTGTTTATTTTGTACGATCATAAATGATAAATTTTGTGCCTATGATAACATTATTATTATTATGTACGACCATAAACAAAAATATGTTTTTGCATGTATGTATATGTGTTTTATGCATATGTGTATAAACAATTATATTGAGTATATGTACTGGATATCTATGATGCGTATATGTATGTATGTATGTATGTATGTATGTACATATGTGTGTACATGTATATGTATGTATGTATGTATGTATGTACATGTATATATATGTATGTATGTGTGTACATATGTATGTATATGTATATGTATGTGTGTATGTGTGGATATATTTTTGTATATATGTGTGTATATCTCTGCATAATGACAGGTCTTATAAAAAAAAAAAAAAAAAGAAAAGAAGTGTGAACCACGTGATTGGGGTAGCACCAGGTCCCAAATATGTTCATGTACATGTTAGTATTTTTGTTATTGTTTTAAAATTTTGTTGTACCTGGCTCAAACAAACAAATAAATAAATGAAATTAAATGAATCTTTCATTGTACAGTAATTATATGTATATTTATCTTTCATTATACACTAATTATTTGTATATTTATTTTTCATTATACACTAATTATTTTTATATTTATTTTTCATTATACACTAATTATTTTTGTATTTACTTTTCATTGTACACTAATTATTTTTATATTTATTTTTCATTATACACTAATTATTTTTGTATTTATTTTTCATTGTACACTAATTATTTGTATATTTATTTTTCATTGTACTGTAATTATTTGTATATTTATTTTTCATTGTACAGTATTTATTTGTATATTTATCTTTCATTCACCACGTTATGTAAATACCAAAACTCACAATTTATCCTGGTCTGGAAGTGGCACAAAGAGAAGTCTCTGTGTTACTGGATTAACTTTCCAACACTCACTATGTTTCAACAATAACTGCATATTTATTCTTTCATCATAGTGACACAGAACAACACTGATATGACACTTTACTCCCAGTAGGTGGCGCTATGTCCCAGCTCTGTGCATGGCTTCCATCCCTATATGAAGCCCGTACAATCAGATAGGAATAAAAAGCCATACGCAGCGCTGGGCCTCGCTCCGGTGGATTTCATCAGCGAGAAAAAGGATTTAAATTAGCATCTGACATTTCAAGTATTTCACCATCAAAATATCAGCACAGACCAAAACACTGATTAATATGGATACAAGGCTGTCGCTCTAATAACATTCACAAACTCATATAAGAAAAATGTCTTGCCCAAGGACACCACAACGACATGTAAAAAAAGTGGATTTAGGTGAATGTGAAAGAGCATTTGGTTGTACAGTGATCCTATCCATGTTTTTTTTTTTCATTTTTGCTCTCAGAATGATTATCAGTGCTGTAAACCAATTTTGAGAATTTAATCTGGAATAAAACCTGTCAATACATTGTTTGTTTTGGTTAAATATTGCAAAATTGTGAATGTGACCAGAAAAAATACA